TCCTCGAGTCTTGCAGTTTATATGCCGCCCTTTGAAATTAAAATTTAAACACGAAAAATTCGATATTATTTATTGCAAAGTTTATAATAGATGAATGTTAGGAAACAGTTTTATGACAAAAAAATGAATGCATACGATATTTTAGCGCATAGTAATTAGATCTCTGGCTATGGATTTTTCCTCATGTTCTAAAATTTCCCCCCAGTAATCTCAACAAGCACATTGTGCTTGTTGTGCTTGTTGAGTTGTTGAAACAATTTCTCTTTGCGTGGCCATGCAAGAAAAAAAAAACAACGACAACAACGAAAACGTTCAGAAGCTTGGAGCTTAGAAACCGCTTTAGGACTCACGAAATATTATTAAATAATTGGTAAATGTGGCATCAAGTTCGGGAGTGTAGAAATAAAAAGGAAAACACACACATAAAATATGATGTAATACGCCTAGTGTAGTCTTACTATACTCAAACAGCAACTTCTCTTTGCTAGAATCACCAATTTGAGGAACCCACGCCCACATTTATGGGAAGTGGAGTTTCCCAGAAATGATTGACACTAAATTCGTACTAAATAGCGAAGGGATGAGGAAACTTGAACATTGACGGCTAATTAAATTCATGAAGTTTCTTCTGGACTGCCATCATTGGATTGCAGTTTTGAAAAACTTCATGATAATTTCTCAAAATGCTAAGCCAATGCTGGTGCTAAAACATGAATTGTATGTTGCCAACGTACCAAGTCGGGGTTTTTCATTATCACCCGAATTTCCAGCCGAACCACGCGTGAGAAAAAGAAGAAAACCCGATTTCATTACTCAAATTGTGTTTCTTTTGACATTTACTATGAAATATTGATAAATTATCCAAATTATTTTGGACCCAAATGACATTGGCAATTTTTAATTGCATGTAACATGTATTTCACGAACAGCCATGCAAACTTGCGTTATTATTGAATTTTTTTGCAAAGTTCCATTGATTTTAGTCGAGTGAGAGGAATAAAATAAAAATATAATGCAAAGTGATCTTGCTGTGTGCTGATCACCAGCTGTGTTCTCCATATACTCGTACAATGCATGAATGTCATGTATTTCCCATGCCAAATTTTCTCGATCTTGAGTGTACAGTTTGATGCAAAATAATCCTCTCCTGAAGGCATTACATTTGAAGGCAGCACAACATTACATTTTTTTAGCAGAATAAGTTCATGGTTCTATCTTACTCTGAGTTGCCATCTTTCTGGAAAAAATGGGAAATATTATATGTGTCCAGTTAAACCCCCCATTGTTGAGAAGCCTACCACCCCCTACCTCTTAAATAAGTCACTATGCACACTTAGCAATAACTGCCAACGGGTCTTTCCTAATAAAAATAACATCGTAAACTCTGTCAAGATACCAACCACCATCTGCCGCAAAAATTATGAACAACTCAGATAGGTGGCTGTTAATTAATTTTCTCTGCAATACCCCATCAACATGATAACAATACAAATGTCTGTTATCCTGAGGTCTTCAAAAAAAAACAATTACACACACATATGACATGATTTACATCTTGGGAACAATAGTTAGATATTATTTATGTATCCCCAGGGCTATTTTCATTGTTTTCTATAGCCAAGTAAGAATTTCATTTCATATACAGTATGCTTAATTTTCATATTACAGTGTTTTGGTCTTTTTGATATAATACTAACCTTTTTAAGCCACACACCCCATTATGCAGCCATAATCCTCACAAATGGTATCAGCTTATCAAGGTTTGACAGCACTATATACAATGTATTATTGCAGCCCATCTTCAGTTAAATGTGCCTGAATAGCAATAATGCTGTATGGAATGAATTAACCCTTGGATGGTGGCAGCCTCCTTTCCATCCTGTGCCAAAGATGGGGTTTTTGCACTCATGACATCTGACTTATCCCTCTGACTTGTCCCTGGTTTTTGCACTCATGCAAAAAATCCTAGCATTTTTGTTTAACCAAATTTAAGGTCACCAAAATGTGTGCAAGTTGAAAAGGCTTAAGTTAGGAAAAATCCAGAAGTAAATCATTCTGCTTTCAGAAATCTTCAATGCTAATCCTATGCTGGGAATGCAGGCAAAAATGTCACCCAGCAAGGAATTCTTTTTTCAACAAAAATTGTCTGCCAGCAGAGAAAGAAAATATTGGGCTTTTTCTGACTTGTCCCTGGTTCTCACTATATCTCGGTTGATTTTTTTAGTGCTTTTGGGCAGCACACAATCTTGCAAAGATAACCGGAATTTGCTACAGAAGGGCTAAGGAGAGGTTTCATGACTTTCATCAGAACGCATGTGCATCTGCAGCGCGTCGCATATAATGAGCGCTATGCTGTGAGTGGTACTCTTCCGACCGGTCAGTTTACATGGCCGGATAGGTTACTTCGTAACGCCGACACGCACGACCGTGCGACTCGCAAGGAATGCAGCATTTTGTGGGTCAAGACGCGCTCTTCAGCAATGGCGGCGTCCTCTCTGAAGAGCGCGTGCGCACCAACTCCACGTTGTTCGCGCAGAAGCAAGAAGTGCTTAAATTCGTATCGGTTCTACTCTTGTAGACTCAACCCGTGACTTGTACAGTGCCTGTCTGGTTGCTGATGTTTTTGGCGCGATGCGGAAAGGATTTCCTAAATTTGNAAAAAAAAAAAAAAAAAAAAAAAAAAAAAAAGTCCACAAGCTTGGGGATCAAAAACAACTTTAGGACTCACAAAGTATTATTAAATAATTGGTAAATGTGGCATCAAGTTCGGGAGTGTAGAAATAAAAAGGAACCAAAACACACACATAAAATATGATGTAATACGCCTAGTGTAGTCTTACTATACTCAAACAGCAACTTCTCTTTGCTAGAATCACCAATTTGAGGAACCCACGCCCACATTTATGGGAAGTGGAGTTTCCCAGAAATGATTGACACTAAATTCGTACTATATAGCGAAGGGATGAGGAAACTTGAAAATTGACGGCTAATTAAATTCATGAAGTTACTTCTGGACTGCCATCATTGGATTGCAGTTTTGAAAAACTTCATGATAATTTCTCAAAATGCTAAGCCAATGCTGGTGCTAAAACATGAATTGTATGTTGCCAACGTATCAAGTCGCGGTTTTTCATTATCACCCGAATTTCCAGCCGAACCACGCGTGAGAAAAAGAAGAAAACCCGATTTCATTACTCAAATTGTGTTTCTTTTGACATTTACTATGAAATATTGATAAATTATCCAAATTATTTTGGACCCAAATTAAATTGTCAATTTTTAATTGCATGGGACATGTATTTCACGCACAGCCACGCAAATTTGCGTTTATTGAATTTTTGGCTAAGTTCCATTGATTTTAGTTGAGTGAGAGGAATAAAAGAAATTTCTAATGCAAAGTGATCTTGCTGTGTGCTGATCACCAGCTGTGTTCTCCATATACTCGTACAATGCATGGATGTCATGTATTTCCCAGGACAAAATTGTTTTGATCTTGAGTGTAGTGCATAGTACAGTTTGATGCCAGAGAATTCTCTCCTGGAGGCATTAACAACATTTTTGTAGCAGAATGAGTTAATGGTTCTATTTTACTTTGAGTTTCCATCTTTCTGGAAAAAATAGGAAATATATGTCCAATTAAACCCCCATTGTTGAGAAGCCTACCACCCCCACCCCGGAATAAGTCACTAGCACACTTAGCAATAACTGCCAACAAGTCTTTCCAAATAAAAATAACATTGGAAACTCTGTCAATATACCAACAAAAATTCTGCCGCAAAAATTATGAACAACTCAGATAGGTGGCTGTCAATTAATTTTCTCTGCAATACCCCATCAACATGATAACAATACAAATGTCTGTTCTCCTGAGGCCTCCAAAAAAAAAAACAATTACACACACATATGACATGATTTACTTCTTGGGAACGTTAGTTAGATATTATTTATGTATCCCCAGGGCTATGTTTATTGTTTTCTATAGCCAAGTAAGAATTTCATTTCATATACAGTATGCTTAATTTTCATATTACAGTGTTTTGGTCTTTTTGATATAATACTAACCTTTTTAAACCACACACCCCATTATGCAGCCAAAATCCTCACAAATGGTATCAGCTTATCAAGGTTTGACAGTACTATATACAGTGTATTATTGCAGCCCATCTTCTGTGAAATGTGCCTGAATAGCAATAATGCTATATGGAATGAATTAATCCTTGGATGGTGGTAGCCTCCTTTCCATCCTGTGCCAAAGATGAGGTTTTTGCGCTCATGCAAAAAATCCTAGCATTTCCGTTTAACCAGAAAATGTAATGTCACCAAAATGTGTGCAAGTGGGAAAGGCTCAAGTTAGGAAAAATCCAGAAGTAAAACATTCTGCTTTCAAAAATCGTCAATGCTTATCCTATGCTGGGAATGAAGGCAAAAATGTCACCCAGCAAAGAATTCTTTTTTCAACAAAAATTTTCTGCCAGCAGAAAAAAAAAAATATGGGCTTTTTCCTTCTTGTCCCTGGTTCTCACTATCTCAGTTGATTTTATTTAGTGCTTTTGGGCAGCGCACAATCTTGCAAAATTAACAAGAATTTGCTACAGAAGGGCTAAGGAGAGGTTTCATGACTTTCATCAGAACGCATGTGCATCTGCAGCGCGTCGCATATAATGAGCGCTATGCAGTGAGTGGTACTCTTCCGACCGGTCAGTTTACATGGCCGGATAGGTTACTTCGTAACGCCGACACGCACGACCGTGCGACTCGCAAGGAATGCTCGTAAAACACCCAGTTCTGCGCGAGAAGTCGTTACCGCCGCAGGAGAGACTTCTCGCGCACGCGTGGTTGAGGTGCAACAAGCGCGTCTTCGTTCTTCACGAATTTAAGCATAGCCAAGATGAGAACTAGACTCAACCCGTGACTTGTACAGTGCCTGTCTGGTTGCTGATGTTTTTGGCGCGATGCGGAAAGGATTTCCTAAATTTGTTTGATGAAGTGAGTACGTGGTGTTCTCTTGTTGGGTAGACGATGCGGCGATGGTGCGTTGCTCGATCGCGTTGTTGAATAATTGTTTTCATTTCGTGCGCCGGAACTGATTTCTGTGTTGGAACGTGTGAAGTGGTGCTGTGAAGATGTATCGGCGAGAACCAGACCGGCAAAGCGGAGTCTCGAATGGCTACAACTCGTCAGGTTTGTTATCCCTTGGATCGGCTTTTCATCCATTTTCTTTTAGATTTTTCGCCTATTTTTTGCCTGAAATGGAAACGTGTTATTTATCGAAATCCTTTGGGTGTACTCTACTCGTAAGCTAGGCTTTCAAATCTCGTGTAATTACATAGCGGTGAAAGAGTTTGAAGTTGAATTGGACATGTTTTTGAAATGATTTTAGGTTGCTATAAGGTATCAGTTTCGCCCGTTATTAGTTCTAATCGTTAATCTTTGCGAAACTCATTCTCTTCAAGTAAGCCTGGAATTACCAGATTTATCATCGGTCTGGATCGTGTCTTATCGCAAGTGTTGTGTCACTGGCTGTTCAATTTGATAATGGAATCTGTGTCTGTCTTTTTCCGAATTAATGAATACGCGACCTGAGTGGAATTCCTAAGCTTCTTATCATCGAGACGGATAGGAGATTGTGCTCGGCTGCGTCGGTTTTTTCAACCTTCGAAATTCACTGCCTCAGTTAACTTGATGAATTTGTTTCTTCGATGTGCATGCCCGATAACCCCACTTGGTAATTCTTTAACGGTACGATTTCTCCTGTAGGTTTCATTAAAAATCGTCCCATTAGAGATTAGAATTAATTCCCGAGTCTTGCATTTTTGCATCGATAAGGTCCACAGTTGATCCCGATCAACTGGTGCTTCGATTACCAATGAGAATGGGTGAGTTAATTCACCGATGTTTGAAAAATCTTTTGCTGGTGTGCATGATGTGAAATACGTGTGCACAAATTTGTGCCTAAGTCGATTAATGAAAATGAATATTTTTGTGCAGATAACGGAAGCGTTGGAAGTCACGATGAAGGACCGCTCTTCCTTCTGGAACATTTGGCAACATTCGCAGTTTCACCGGAAACGGGAGTCCTTTACCCGCCGGATGGAATGCGAAGACTGTTACAGATGGAGAAGACGTCGGGAATTTGGACGCAAAAGATGCAAATGCGGATCGAGCGGAAATCTATTGTGATTCTCGACCACGAAAATGGGGTATGCTGAACTCTTGTGCTAATTTTTGCTTGAGTTCCGGTGAAACGAATATTACGTTCGCCCTAATTGGTTTGCAGAGCTTGCGATGTTATGGGTGACTTTTTCGGGTTATGTATGTTTTTTGAGTGTTGGATGAGGTATGCTGAAACGTATCCGGTTTTTCAAAATTTTACGTAAGGAAACGTCAGCTAAAACGAATTCTGCTTTTGTTTTTGCTTGTCTTATCGCCACTTCAAAAATTGATGCAAACCGGGCAGGTTTTGCCTCGATTTGCAAGTCTACCAAACCTGAAAAATTCAACCTGACCGAACTTGACCAGGTGGAACTCTGGGCCTGAACGAAATGTAACGGGATAAAAATTTTAACGTACGTCAAGACCATAATTATCTATGACAATAAGATAACATCACGTAATTTGGACATGTCATCTTGAAAGAAATATTTTTTTCAGATTTATGTAAGGTCAAACACCTTATAACCAAGTATATTTTTTTCCTTTATTCATTATAAATTTTCAAAAACCGTGAGCTTCATAAAATACTCCGGGACGTAAGGAAATGAATCTGTTTGGAGAACCTTTTGAAAACCATGGTACGATGTCTTCCTGTGATCTGTGTAAAAAAAATACTCTTTTGTCGGTACAAATGTTTTATTCGTCTGAATCGAATCAATTTCGTTCTGGAAGTTATTGGTTTTCATGAATGGCTGTCCAGGTTCAACTTTCTTTCTAGTTTGAACCATTTACTCGTACGTGGACATCGTGGTTGATCAAATTCTTATACTAGATTACGAATAGAATTTTTTATTACGAATAGAATTTTTTAGTTACCGAGGAAATCCTGGAGAAACTTTTTTCACAAAATTATAATTTTGCTCACTAATTTTTCAAAATACTTATCTTGATTTTTTTTTTTCATATTATGCAGTAATGTCAGGTCATCATGTACTGTTTATGAGTTTCATTTCGTAACATGAGTCCTATTTGAATTCCTATAACGAAGAGCAACACACTTGTTCGCCTCAATATGTTCTCAAACATCGATGAAACATATCCCCGTCGTGCGAGATCTTTTTTCTCCTCTAGACCTCATTTTTATTATTCCATTTTGAGTCTCAGAGTAGGATTTCTCCTCATATCTGCTTCAACCATTTCTGCTGAACCCGGTGGCAAATCCCGTTTGAAACCGTCGATTTCCGTCGATAATATCCCAGAAGCTGAGGTGATCTTCCTTATCTTCATCAACAGGATGTCGTGGAAGAGTTTCCGATGGCCCTCATCCGAGAACCGACTGCATTCACGAGCAAAGATCCGAAGGAACTCTACAACAATATTTTCATTTTCATCGTGACGGAAGACGCAGCTGGAAATAATCCGTCTGAGATGCACATTTTTCAGGTGGGGAAAGTGTCTCAAATGCGATGGTGCTACAGACCTTACGTCAAAGATAGCCGATTTTATTTTGGGCATGAATTGCGATTTATTCTTTTGTGCGCAGGCGTGTGTACAATATTCGAAGCATTGAGCTCCTAAGTCTTTCTGCATGTTTTTTTAATTGACGCATGTGTGAGGGGTTTTTCTTTCCGGATCTGGTTCTCTGGAAATTTAGGGTGTGTCAGAGAATCGATGGAGTCTTAGATACGCCTACGAGTAGCTAGTTCATGTGGTAGTCCAAAGTGTGTTCCTATCAAAATTGATCATCTTCTCATCATGCAACATCTGACTTTCAGTTAAGCAAGGTGTAAAGCATTTCATGAACAAGTCCGAAAGCGAAATAAATTCTAGAGAATTTCTACTTGTCATGTATCATTGTGGCCACTTTTTCCTCCTACAGATGACTTTTTTGTGATTTGTGCGCTTTGGTGCACCTTGAGAACAGTTTCCAGCAAAATTGTTTTCACTTTCAGTGGCTGATCAATTTTTCTGCTTCAGCGGATCGATAGAGTTCATATCAGCTGCGATTCGGTTTTGAAAAGCGCGCTGATTTCTCACGATCCCTGTTGAGGAAATTGGCAGCTTGTTCGTATGAATACTTGATTAAATTTCGTGTCAGATGACTGTAACCCTTCTCGCACTGCGTTCCTATGTGTCGAAGATACCGGCAATATTATTCCATGTACCAAAAAAATTGTATCCGCGAGATTGTGCTTTCAAGTGAATTTTTTGGGGTTATGAAGTATGAATGTACAAATGTAATGAGAGGGGAAGTTGGCGCTCGAAGCTAAAACGAATGTGATTTTTAAGCAACGCCGTGGTAATCGCTGTTGAGTTAATCGCAATGAAGCACAGTGTTAAAATTCAAATGTAAGGTTTCCAGGACTCTTTTTCTGAGGTTCGCTGAATCCGTTTTCTTTTCCATCTTCTGTTGAATTTTTGACTGAATGAGGCTCAATTGCAGGTCAGAAATGATTTAGCTTGTTCACAGTTGGCGATGGGTCCAATACAAGCGGCGTTTCAGTTGATCAGCGATCGACAATCGAATATAAGGGCCTTTCTGAATTTAGGAACCATGTAGTTTTTCGTGATTTATTTACTTGGACATCCCCTTGGTATATTCGCGCTTATGTCTGAATTGAATCCGTAATTGAAATTAATAAATAAGATGCTTTAAAGTTTAAATTAACTACTGCATCTTCAGAAAGCTTTGAAAGTCGGAACAACCGAAAACTTCGGGTGCCTTATGAGTAGCTAAGCGACAAGAAAATTTGATTCCACGTTTGGTTTTCATGGCGTCATATGACAATGACAAATGGTTCCAGTCCCAGGCAGTCAATATTTTACAGTATTCGGTGATATACATTCCATGCCCCATCATTTTTCTAGATGGCTTGAAATTTGTAGTATCACAAGGACTGATTGAAATCAAAGTTAATTTTTCCTATGAGCAAGAGACACTTTCACCTTTATTCAATTTTCTTATCCTGACGCAGTGGATTGGGACGTCTAATCTTTCAAATTTTTGACCGAAATTAAATACGAAAATGCTGTGGGTTAGTTATGGTGATGTGATTATTCCGAAAGATTTTGTGGCTCATTTCCTGTATTCTTCGTTAATTGTTTCTCGTCTCCACTTCATTCTGCTCCATGAATTGGTAAGAGAAAAAGTTGCCACCGTGAAAAAGTTCTGTCGTCTTTGCTCCAACCATTCCCTGTTTCATTGTTGCCTGATCTCGAAATGATTATTTTTTTACCATGTTGTGCATCGAAGTGCAGTGCTTCAAAATATTGACCAAAATCGTTCAATGACTTGAGGTTTGAGTTAATTTTGAAGGGTCCTTGTCGCACTTCCAATGACAAAATGAGGTTTTGTTTCATTTTAAAGGGTCCTTGTTGCACTGATATTGTTACAAGGGTTGAATACTGGGGGAAGCACTGAAAACTGTTTTTCTTCCATGATCCGTAATACGGTATTAAAATTTACTCGTGATATAATCACTTATGGATGTGAAAGACGAGAAATCATCCCGCAAAATTCCTCCCTTCTAAAATGTCGTACACAGGTGAAGAGTTTGAAGCATTGAATCGTGCTCAGACTTCGCTCATGTACCGTGCCAATTTTAATGCTCTCTTGCGTATGTTTTATCAGTGAACTGAAACTCGCAAAAAGTGATCAAGTTTTCGTTGCACATAAATTATTATTTTTGTTTACGCATGAAGGATAGGATTTTGATTTTTTTTTCTGCGTCTATGATCGATGAATATTGAATGTTCTTTCGCGTCCTGTGGAAGATCGGAATCAGCTTCGCCATTTCATAAGTGCGAGCTGAATTTTCAATGATGTTTCTGGTCGCGAAATGAAAGTCAGGAAGAGTGAACTCAGTGAAGTAAGGATTCAGCGGAACTTGCCGAAACGTATACTGTATTTTCAAATATCTTCTGTTTTGTGTTCATAAGAGCGTTCTCGAGTACAAAAATCATCACTCTCTTGGGTGTTGCGATCGTGTCCGTCGATGATGAAAGTTTCTTTTCATTCCATTTTCTAGTGCGTGAATGTATCAGCACAGGAAGCAGTGGAGCACATGAAGGCATACATGGCTGGCAAGGCAGTCAGGGGCGGTTATGAGAGGTCTTCTCGCATACCGCCGCCGCCAGTAGAGCCGCCACCAGAGCCTCCTGGGCTGAACGGCGTCCGCGATAAAGTGTCCGCTTTCAGCGCCAATGCACCTAGTTCACCGGGTCGCCGAACATCACAGGGTGAGTGAAGTTTTTTTTTTGTAATCTCTCGGGGAAATCGGAATGACGTCCGACGTTGAAGCGCGAAGTATCCGGACATGTTTGGATGAAGTCGAACATGTTCGAATGAAATTTTCAAATCGATTTTTCAGTTTTTTTTTCGTACTGAACTCGATCCAGTTCTCTTTTGTTCGCGATTTCAAATTCCGCTACCAAAGCTTTTGAGAAACAGATGAAACCATTTATATGTAGATGATTTATTGTATCGATTAGAGATTTGAGTTTCTGTTGTCAAAAATGGAAATTACTTCTCTCCTCTGTCGAGTGTTGAACGTATGGTTCAAGTTCTGTCAGTCTTGTTCTCCTTTCTTTGCTGATACTGTACGTTTATTCCTAAATTTTTGGGAATGATCTTAATTTAATGAGATAATTCGTGATTTTGGGGGAACTCGGATTGAGGAGGAACAGAGTATTGAAATTTTGCATCATCACTTTGCGTGAAGAACTGAGTAGGAAAGTAGGATGTTCTTCCCGCTCTGAAATTTATTTTATTCGTGGTCAGATTTGAGTGGAAGAAAATATTTTGTTCAAGCACGAAACATTCACCGCTCATTCTGGCATATGACGTTATTCTAATAATTATTGTTAGGTTTTCATTTCGCCTGAAAACGAAACCTTCAATGTAATGAAGTCTCGGTTTTTTTTTCTAGAAGAAAAAACAAAATGTGATGCTTCATTTTGGGGGAATCACGATACGTTAATTGAAAGGTACCGAAGTTCAGACGATAAGCTTGTGCGTGAGTGGAGAAGGTTTGCGCAAATTTTGAGTTATACGTATTGTTAGTATGATACTTCTCGTTTTATTTTCAAAATGTGGGGTTTTCATGTTCGAAGTAGCTTTTTCTGGCACATTCGCTTGTGAATTTCTGAATCACGTCTTCTCTAATGAATCATGCACCTAAACATTTCTTGCTCCGATTTTTCCATATAAATTTTTAATCCTTCCAAGAGCTTTGATCTTCTTGAGAAAGGCGGATGCGGAAGTTCATATAAACATTTCGACTGGATGAAAATGAAAGACGTATGTCGGTATTATTTTGTTCGTTTTTTTGAGAGTGAAAGGCCGCTGGTTTGGACTTGTACTCTTTAGGTTGGTTCGTCTGGTCATTTTGTTTGAAAGTATTG